GTGATGGTGATGGTGATGGTGATGACTGTGCAAATGATTCCGATGATCCTGATGCTTCTGATGGTGATGGCGATGGAGATGGAGCTTTCAATTTTGTGGTGAACATATTTGTCATAAGGAGGATGAGGACGAACACGAGGATGAGGATGATGATAGTGGTGATGCTGAGGATTGCGGGGGGTGATGGTGATGACGAAGATGATGGCGATGTTCATTGTGATAGGAATGGTAATGGTAATGGTGATGTGGTGACGATGATACTGCCCTAAACCCTACACCCTAAACCCTAAACCGTCACTGATACTTGCAAGAATCGTCGGAACCGAGACCACAAAACCCTGCCCCACAAAGCCATAAGGCAATACAAAGCAATTAGGTTTCATCTAAGTAGGTTTTGTGAGGAAAACTAGAAGAACATCCCTATACATGAGTATATATGACTATATATCTAAATCGATGAGAATATGCGCATACTAGCTCTTGTTATAGCTGACTTCAAACAAGATCCTTAGCAGAGCCAGGGGGCCGAAGCGGGGGAGCCATGCGGCCGACGGGAGGGAGGCTCCAGATCTCCACCGCCTGGTGGGGTGTTCATAGGGCTTAGGCTTCAGGGTTTAGAGGGTTCAGGGTTTAGGGGTTCAGGGATTAGGGGTTCAGGGATTAAGGGTTCAGGGATTACGGGTTCAGGGTTTAGGGTTTTGGGTTCAGGGTTCGGGGTTTAGGGATTATGTTTCAGGGCTCAGGGTGTTATCTCCTGGTGAGTTTTCATAGGGTTTTGGGTTTAGGGCTGTTCACAAGCTTCTTTGTGCATCTGCATAGGATCCTTTTAGGGCTTCATTCGGGTGCAAGGCTCGGCTAGCCCTCGTTCAGGGTTGACCAGGTAAGACTAGGGTTTAAGGGCACAAGCGCTGTCAACGTGCAGCAGTCGGCAACCTCGAAGCACTAATGTAGGGGGTATATTATACTAGAATTATGGTAAGGAACCTCAACATAGTATTGGTAATGATTAAGGCCCGTATACTGGAGCGCCAGAGAGTCTCAAATTTCCAACTCCCCCGGTGGTGCAGACGCCGCCTCGAGTGTAGCCATGGCTTGTGATCTCACCTTCCCGTCGGCATCCGTGGGCTCAGGTTGCTTCCCGTACTGTAAGTTATACTAGTTTGGGGTTCCTGTAGAGGTTCTATACGGGCTTAGAGTTAAGAAGCTTCGTTATTTAGTTACCATAGCAAAGACACCATTTTTTTCTAGAAAACCCTGTTACGGGCCCTATTCTGGTAATTTCAAGTAAGTTCCTCAAAAAGAGCATAGCAGACCGGTGCTGGATCCCTCGCCCTAAGTAGTTCTTAAACCCCACATCACATCAGGAAACCCTACAGCTGGGATCCTCAGGGTTGTCCTTTCAAACCATCAATCCCTGTCTCACGGTTCAAGGGTTGAGGGTTTAGGGGTTTAGGGGCTTAGCGGTTTAATTAGGGGATTACGGGTTTAGTAGAGTGTAGGGTTTAGGGATGATGCCAAAACCCAGGAGTTGGAGGTTCTGGATAAAACCCAACCCTGAGCCCTCAAGCCTTGAATCCTAAGCCCTTAGCCTTAACATCCGGAGCGCTAAACCCTAGAACCCCAAAGGCCCACCACCTTTTGGGGTTTTGGGTTCACGGCTTAGGGGTTTAGGGTTTAGGAGTTTAGGGTTTAGGGTTAAGGGTTCAGGGTTTAGGGGTTGAGGGTTGAGGGGTTTTGGGTTTAAGTATGCCCTAACCCTTTTCTGCAACCCGATATCCCGAATTTAGGGTTTAGCACTTTTCCCGCTGGGGGGTCGTTTTTTGGCCCTGTTTAGATCCCCGTGTTTGGGGGTCTAGTCTGGGGGCAGAAGGAAAAAATCTTTAAGCGGGCAAAATAGAAACGACCTAACCGGCCGTACAGAGTTTTTTTCACGCCCTGGGCTTGGGGGTCTAAGGCCGAAAGAACAAAAAATCGTTTAAGGAGGCACAAAACAACCTAACCGGCCGTACAAGCTTTTGTTCGCTCCTTGGGTTTGGGGGTCGAAGGACTAGGAACACAAGAATAAAGAGACAAGAGCGAGAGACAAAGAGACGGAGAGACAGAAAGTCAGAGACACAGAAGTACCGGGAAAGAAAGAGGGGTGACAGCGGGAAAGACACAGAGAGAGAGAGAGGGAAAGAGACAAA